CCTAGATACAGTCTCAAAGCCGGTGAGTCATTAGACCGTATTCTCTTCTAAGGGCACTGAGCCCCCAGCCTGGTTGATACTCCGTGTTTCTGAGGAAGCTTTTCCCTGGGTGGGGGAGGAGGAAGACGCTGACGCTCTGAGTTTTAAGAAGCTGAGGAGCCATTTCCTGTACCGTGTGGAAGCAAAGAAGTAAATGATGGGGTCAGTGCCACCGTTCATGTTCATGAGGGGCATGGTGAGCTGAAGGGACAGTCCCCGGGCAAGATGGCGGATGGAGCATCTCTCTCAGCATGAACCGGATGATGGTGAGGTGGCAGGGGCTGAAACACACGAGCACGGCCACCAGCACCACCAGGGTGAGCGGGTGGGCCCTCCGGTGGCAGCCTTTCTGGCTCCTCAGAGGGTTTTCCCGGGCTGTCCTGCACAGCTTCCAGGCGATCTTCATGTAACAGAACAGTATGATCCCCGCTGGCCCACAGAAGCTTATGGCACAGGCCACCAGGACCACGAGGGGCAGCCTGACGATTCCCTCAACACTGTCCTACTCCATGCAGGCCGGCCTGCCTGCCACGGGCTTGGTCACAGGGATGAAGAGCAGGGGTGCCGTCTGCAGCGACACCAAGGCCCAGAGAGCCACATCGACGAGCCGCGCTCGGCCAGCGTCGCGGAGCTGGGGGCCCCGGTGGGTGCAGACCACAGCCAGGTAAGGGTCCACGCTCACGCACGTCATGAGGTAGACCCCCCCCCCGTAGGTGTTCACGTAGAGGATGAGCGCCGTCAGCCTGCAGAGCCCTTCTCCAAAAGGCCAGCTGAAGTCCAGCGGGTAGTAAGTGATCCTTCCAGGCAGGGCCAGCGTGAACAGGAGGTCAGACACTGCCAGCTGGACCAAGTAGACGCCCGTTGAGTTGATCTTCTTGCCCTTTTGACGGGCAAGGCGTAGGGCAAGGATGTTTCCCAGAGCACTGAAGACCAAGAGGGCTGTGTAGAACGGAGAGAGGGTCACACTGACTGCCTGGGTGGGGAGTGAGGAAGGCAGGGGCTGGCATTGTGGAGGAGGCGGCTTGGGTCGGCCATGCTGGCGGTCATGTCACTGAGGTCCTTGGGGAGACAAAAAAAACAAAAAAAGAAAACGTAATATGGCATCTGTGGGGCTATGCCTCTGTAGTAGTAATAAATTTGCTGAAACAACACGCAAATGAAAAACCTGTGTCTTTTTAGGTAAACTTTTTGGGGGCTCCTGGCTGGCTCAGTCATTAAGGGTCCAACTTCGGCTCAGGTCATGACCTTGTGGTTCGTGGGTTCCAGACCCACGTCGGGCTCTGTGCAGCTATTGCTGTGTAACATGTTACCCCCCAAAATTTAGCAGCTTGAAACACACTTCATTATGTTCACAGTCAGGATTTGAACAGGACGGAGTAAGAATGGCTTTTCTCCGCTCCTCTGTGTTGGGAGCCTCAGCTGGGAAGTCCCAACGGGGGCTCACTCGATGGCAGAGCCTGGGACCTGACTTCCCTCAGATGAACAGCAGTTGGTGCTGGCTTCTGGCTGGAACCTCAGCTAGGGCCGTCAACTAAAGCTCCCTCACGTGGACTCCTCACGAGACTGGGCTTCCTCAGCATAGCAGCCTGAAGGGAACTTCATTTCTTTCACGGCCGCCTTAGGCTTGAAAAGTGCCCCGGAAGCGACGTGGACGCTCCGTGCATTAACCACCTCTGTTATTTTCTGACTTTTGATGCTTTCACGTCTTGGGGCCTCGCTGACCCTCAAGGGACTGTCTCTTCCTGGGTCAGCCAATTCCTCGAGTGTGCTTTTCGAGGGTAAACCAACCAGTCCTCAGTCACACCCCAACCACCTCCTTTATCAGACTGTCTGGGCCACTCTCCACCTGCCCTAGTCCCCCGCAGGGCCAGATGCCAGACGACCAGGGCAGCCCCTGTGTCCCGGAGCCCCCTGAAATGATCCAAACTAGCCAGTCCAAGTCTGCTTTACCCCGCCTCACGTGGGTTTCGTCCTGCAGAAATCACACCAGCAGTTCTTGCCCACCTATCTGCCTCTCTCTGTCTCCCAGCTGACGCTGGTGCTTCCCCTGTGACCCCTGTGATGTGGCCTGTCCCCTCTTCTCGGGATCGGTGAGTGACAAACTGTCTTTCCCGATGGCAGTCGTCTTCTGATCCGTTGGCCTTCCTGAACCTCAATTTTTCTATTAATATGCTGTATTTTACAGCACCTTTTCTGACCTGGCCACAGAAGAATGACGTCATCACCCCCACCACCTCCAGTTGGCTACAAGTGACTCACAAGCCCACGCAGAAGCAAGAGAAAGGGACATAGCTCCCACCAATGAAATCACAATGTATATGTGTATTTTCACACAGGTAGCCTTTTTGAGTCAACATTTGTGGGTTTTACCCATATTGTTGGGTGTGGTTGAAGCTCTTTTGTTCTCACTGCTGTAAGATATTCCCTTGTATGAATGCATCACCATCAATTTGTCCATCCTACTGTTGAGGAACATCCAAATCGTTTTCACTTTGCAGACTGCTCAGGGGGCCTGAGTGGCTCCGTCGGTAAAGTGTCTGACTTCAGCTCAGGTCATGATCTCATGGTTCACAAGTTCGAGCCCCGTGTCGGGCTCTGTAATGACAGCTCAGAGCCTGGAGCCTGCTTTGAATTCTGTGTCTTCCTCTCTCTCTCTCTCTGTCCCTCTCTGCACCAGCCAGGAGTATATAGCTGGTGAGTCCCCGGTTCTGTGCATGCTTGGTTTTGGTATGGTTTTGGTATGGTCTGGCAAATAGTTTGTCAAAGTAGCTGCTCTTCATGCTCCCCAAAATGTGTGGGGGTTCCTGCAGCCCCTCGTTCTCACCAACACTTGGTGCTAGCAGTCTGTCAAGTGAACCGTTCTGATGGGTCTCTAGGGGTATCTTCTTGTGGTTTTAATTAGCATTTCCCTAATGACTACTAACGTAGTCACATGTTTACTGGCTGTGTTTATACCTTCTTTATGAGGTGCCTGTATGAATATTTTGTCCCTTTTTCTATTGGATTGTCTGTCAAAAATGTTTATGATTGGGGCGCCTGGATGGCTCAGTCAATTAAGCATCCAACTTCAGCTCAGGTCATGATCTCGTGTCCGTGGGTTTAAGCCCCGCGTCAGGCTCTGTGCTGACAGCCCAGAGCCTGAAGCCTGCTTCCGATTCTGTGTGTGTGTGTCTCTCTCTCTGCCCCTCCTCCACCCATGTTGTCTCTCCGTCTCTCAAAAATGAGTAAATGTTTGGGGCGCCTGGGTGGCTCAGTCGGTTAAGCGGCCGACTTCGGCTCAAGTCATGATCTTGCGGTTCGTGAGTTCAAGCCCCGTTCCAGGCTCTGTGCTGATGGCTCAGAGCCTGGAGCCTGTTTCGGATTCTGTGTCTCCCTCTCTCTGACCCTCCCCGTTCATGCTCTGTCTCTCTCTGTCTCAAAAATAAATAAACGTTAAAAAAAAAGAAAAAAAGAAAAAAATGAGTAAATGTTAAAAAAAAAAGTTTATGACTTCCTTTTTCCAATCCATTTCCCCCAATCTGCTAACTTAGCCTTGCCTTTGATATGCACACCTCCATTTTTATTATCTGCGTTCTGATCATCCTTTAACTTTTAATTTCTATACCATGATGGTAAGGGGAAGAGCTGGGGCAGGTCTACCCAAAGCTCCCTGCCTAGCAGGTGGGGCCTGAGGGGCTGTCCCCGTGGTGCAGTGGTGCACACGTAAGCGCTGAGGTTGCAGGGGGCGTGTAGTTTGCCCCAGGACCACAGTAGCTCATAGAACGAGGATCACAGACCCAGTTGGAGAATGCTGCGAGTCTACAGTCAGATGCTGACTCGAGGGGCACCAGCTCCGTGAGCCCCCAAATCTCACTTGCATCAGGACACAGCTGTCCCCTCCTTGATCAACTTGGGGCTGGCTGGTGGGGAGCCTGCTGTAGGTTGTGGCTTATTTTAACCTAGGCATAGAAGATTTTGTCTAGTCCCTACAGATGGGAGAAGGGGCCTCGGTTCTAACGGAAAATAGAAGTCAGGCTGAAAGAGAGAAAGAGGAGCACTGAAAAGCCCTTCGAACCTCAGAAGGCTAGCTGGCCGGAGCTCAACATGATAGATAGATGATCCCATTGAGAGATGTATGATCAGTCTCCCTAAAAGACGAGTTCAAACATATTTTTGATTTTATCAAGTAATTCCCAAGTGCTGTGCCAGCTACTGGTTATATTCAGAAGATGCAAAAGAATCAAGTTTTTATTACTTGAGCCTTACGGTCTGGTTGGAAAGATAAGGTATGCAGTTAAAAATTGCTAAAGGAGGGGCGCCTGGGTGGCGCAGTCCGTTAAGCGTCCGACTTCAGCCAGGTCACGATCTCACGGTCCGTGAGTTCGAGCCCCGCGTCAGGCTCTGGGCTGATGGCTCGGAGCCTGGAGCCTGTTTCCGATTCTGTGTCTCCCTCTCTCTCTGCCCCTCCCCCGTTCATGCTCTGTCTCTCTCTGTCCCAAAAATAAATAAATGTTGAAAAAAAAATAAAAAATAAATTGCTAAAGGAGAAGGAGAAGGAGAGAGAGAAAGAAGAGGAGGGGAAGGAGGAGGGGAAAGGGGGAGGGGAAGGAAGAGAAGGAGGAGGAGGGGAAGGAGAAGGAGAGGGAGAAGAAGGAGGAGGGGAAGGAGAAGGATGGGAAGGAGAAGAAGGAGGAGGAGAAGGAGGAGGAGGGGAAGGAGAAGAAGGAGGAGGGGAAAGGGGGAGGGGAAAGAAGAGGAGGGGAAGGAGGAGGAGAGGGAGAAGGAAGAGAGGGAGAAGGAGGGAGGGAGGAAGGAGGAGGAGGGGAAAGAGGAGGAGGGGAAGGAGGAGGAAGGGAAGGGGGAGGAGGGGAGGCCCCTCTCTGTGCCTGTCATTCCCACCCCACGGGACCTCCCCAACAGGCACAAAGCACCCCATTCCTCCTACCCCATCCCTTCTGCTCATAGGAGATGACCCAATACTGGTCATTTATGCCTTAACATGAAGTTACTAATGCATTTCCCTCTCACAAGTGTGTTTGCCTTTTGAGACTCACAGAGTGGTGATTGTAAAGTGCAAGGTGTGCCCCTGTTAAGGGATTGTCAGTTAGTGCAATCATAGGGGAGAGTTATGGAAAGTGCTTCCAAAGGGTTACCCCCAGGTCTGGCCCAGTGAAGGCAACTCGGTGGTCCCGTCAATGGGTTTCACTCAGTGACCTGAAGGTGACCCTGGCCTTCGTACCTTCTGTCCCGAGCTGTGCTTCTGCTCAGACGAGACATGGCAGGGGTCCCGCTGCCGAGCTGGGATCTGCTGGGATGCTGGACCCATTGATTGCAGAGCAGAAAGCGGTGAGGAGCAGTTACAATCTGAGCCTTTCTCTCGGAGCCCAGTGCCTTCCTCGCGCCCCGAGAAGACTCACCTCTGGCCCACTTACCTGCTGACCAAGGCCAGCGCACAGGGAGCCCAGCAGAGCCTTGGCCCGGGGCCCAGATGCCTTCCCAAGCAGCTGGGAGGTGCCCTCTCCCCGCTTCAGAATTGACTCAGATCACCGCACTACACTCCACGCCCTACCTCCCTTCACCCACTCCTGCAGAAAAAGAAGAAACAGGGGAGAAAAAACACAAAACCCAAGGGTGGCAGACAAGGTGATCTTCCTGCACAGGATGTACACGCTCAGCCACAGGGCTCCCAGCAGCTGCTGAGAAGGAGGGAGGGGAGGAAAGTCGCTCCGGGAAGCCAGTTCCCTTTCTGTTCCATTTCTGTGCCCCCCACAGGCTGGGATTTAAGCCATATTTGTGACTATCGAACCACCACAGTCAGGAAATTCAAAAGCGGCCACCATTCTCCCTCCTGACTGGGAGCGGTGAGCTGGGGAAAGCAAGAAGTGCCATCTGGGGACTTGAACACACTCAGCCTCGGAAAGGGGAGGGGAGCCGAGCCTTGTCGGGATTCCCTGGGCCTTGTGATCCCAGCGAGATGCTTTGATGGAGCCTGAAAGCCGAATCTGCAGCCCTCGGAGGCCAGAGGCCGTGCCCCCAAGGGCTGCAGCCAGCAGGGGCAGGACTTGCCATTACAGCTGAAGCCAGGATGTCCCCGCAGCAGGGCGAGGCCGGGTGTCCCTTTGCTACTGCTCTTTTCTTGCTCTCATTTCTGGAGAACGGTTTTCCTCACCGCACAGCAGTCTAGTAAATGAAGCATCAAACCCATCGTGCCTCGTTCCTAAATTGCCACCACAGGGATGTCAGTGTGTGCATTGTTCCTGAGGCTCTCTCTGAACACCCTGTGATGCCCTCCAGCCCAGCCTGAGACATTTGCTCCCAGACCCCTGTGTCTCCCGCATGGCAACCCACGTGCCTGGGTTTCCCGAGTCCAGAATGTGGGTCAACGGGCTCCCCTACCTGGCCTCCCGCTGACAAAGGCCATGGGACCCAATTTTTCCCATGTATAGATTGGGCCCCAAAACATGTCCCCCAGATCTCCTGATCTGTTGGAGAACTTGCATAAAGAAGCCTTATCTTACCAGAAACTTTTACGAGAAACTTCCCCCCTCCACCCCCAGGAGGAAGAGCTAAGGCAGTTTCCAGAGGTGCCTGATGTATACACAGGTCATGGGCCCTAGGAGAACCTTCCTCCGAGTCCTCAAAAATTTAAGATTCTCCTAGTAAAAGGACCTAGAAGGCCTGAGAAGGGCAACACAATATAAAATATCTCCCGCACTGTTGTTCACTCAGGATTCATTCAATAAGCATATGCTGGCAGCACCCGGGTGGCTCAGTTGGTTAAGGGCCTGACTCTTGATTTCTGCTCAGGTCATGACCTCACAGTCTGTGGGTTCTCCACACGGGCAGCACAGAGCCTGCTTGGGATTCTCTCTCTCTCTCTCTCTCTGCCCCTCCTCAGCACTCTCTCTCTCTCTAAATAAATAAACTTAAAAGAAAAGGCATAAACTGAGTGCCAGCTTGGAGCCAGGCAGGGCAAAGTACGCATAGCAAGGGGGGGGGGGGGGGGGGAAGAAAGCTGTCCTCCACCCTCCCCAGGACAGGTAGCAGCTGGGCTCTGCTGATTAAACTGACAAAAGACAGATGAACAGAAAAGGCATATGCATTTTATTTGATGTTAATCATTTTAAGTGGCATGGGAACCTTCATTGAAAAGTAGTGGGGGGGGTGCCTGGGTGGCGCAGTCGGTTAAGCGTCCGACTTCAGCCAGGTCACGATCTCGCGGTCCGTGGGTTCGAGCCCCGCGTCAGGCTCTGGGCTGATGGCTCGGAGCCTGGAACCTACTTCCGATTCTGTGTCTCCCTCTCTCTCTGCCCCT